CTCCCAAGCAGCTTCCCTCCACCACTGGCCTCTGAGTCCCCGAGAAGTAGCTAGAGATGTCCAGAATCACAGGTTCGGGGTTGTACTGCCTCACACCCAATTGTCCAACAGGCCCTCTGGGTCAGAAGAAGCCTTGAAGACCACATGATCAACAGACTGATATGACCTCAGGTTCCCACAGCAGTGGCTGCAGGGCAATGGGCCACCCGGGCAAAGTGCTCTGAGCTCTGTCAAGCATGGATGTCTGGCCAGAGATGCCTACAGTAGAGGGAACCTATGGGCCAGGACAATTAAAGCTGCCGTCTTAATGTGTGTTGTCTCTGAATTGTCAGTAGCAATTTGAGGACACATCATGTGGATTTGGGGTTGGGTGCTGGCCCCTGGGTTTGAGGAAGAGCCATTTCACAGATGAAAATGAAAATGACTGAATATCCGAGCTCTTCCCTTGATCAGTCATGATGCTGGGGCTTTGGCGTCCCTGGATTACAAAACCAATGAATGCTCTTTCATTATGCAGGGCGGGGGGGTGGGGAGGCAGGATAGCAAAGAGATCATCCAAGGTCGCATAGCTTTGAATGAGCAAAGCCAGGGCTGTTCTGAGAATATCCACACCCTTAACTCATGCTTAAAATGTCTTGCTAGGGTGTGGTAACACATGCCTTTAAAAATATCTTTTTTTTAAATTTTAAAAAATATTTACTTGTATGTACATATGTATACATGCCACTTGTGTGTGGGTACTCTCAGAGTCCAGAAGAGTGTGTTGGATCTCCTGGGTGCTGGGAACCAAACTTGGTTCCCCTGGAGGAGCAGCCAGTGCTCTTAACTTTATTGACCCATCTCTCCAGCCCCCAAAATGGCCTTGAATGCATCCTGAAGGGAAGAAGGAAGATTGGACCCCTGGTCCATCTTGCACGAGGTCAGTGGTTCTCAATCTGTAGGTCCCAACCCCTTTCATGGGGATCGCCTAAGACCATCAAAAATCATAGACATTTACATTATGGGTCCTAACAGTGGCAAAATTACAGCTATGAAGTAGCAACGAAAATATTTTTTTATGATTGGGGGTCACCACAACATGAAGAACTGTATTATTAAAGGGTCACAGCATCAGGAAGGTTGGGAACCAGTACACTAGGTAGATGCTATGCCACTTAGGAGAAACTGGGTATGGTCTCATCTCCAAACGTGGATGTTCTAGATAGAATTCTTGCTGTAAGAAGAGCCTGTCACCTTCTAGGAAGAAAGAAAATAAACCCCTTCCACATCTGGACCCACAGTAGACTCCCACTAACAATGTCTCTACACAATCCCTTCCTTGGGATCTGGGAGGATTTACCTACAGTTTCCCTCACCACTAGAAGGCGTCTTCCTACTCAGATAACCCAGTATGTCCTGTAAGCCTTCTGTGAACCCTCACTCAGCCCCTCCCCAAGTACAAAGGTTCCCAAGCCACTTATATCCTTTTAAATATTTACTGTGTCGTGTGTCTGTGTGTTACAGCGCAGATGTGGAGGCCAGAGGACAATTTGTGGGGGATCAGTTCTTCCTTCTACCCTGTAGGTCTGTCCTAATGTGTTTCTGTTCCTCTGATAAACGTTCTGACCAAAAGCAATGTGAGGAAAGGGTTTGTCTAAGCTTACAGGTTGCAGTCCATCGTCAGAGGAAGCCAGGGCAGGAGCACAAGACAGGCAGAGAGCATGGAGGAACACCACTTACTGACTTGCTTTCCTCTGGCTTGCTCAGATACCTTTCTGACGAAGCCCAGGACCACCTGCCTAGCATGGCACTGCCCCATAATAGGTTGGGCCCTCCTGTATCAATTAGCACTTACGAGAAGACGTCACAGATATGGCCAGTCTCCCAAGGCAATTCTGCAGCTGAGGTTTCCTCTTCCCAAGTGACTCTGGGTTTGTGTCAGGTTGACAACTGAAACTACCTACAACAGGATCCCAGAGATTTATCTCAGGCTCTCAGATTTGGCAGCAAGTCCTTTCCCTGCTAAGCCATCTCCCTGGCCCCATTAACACCCTTTCAAGCCACCATAGAAAAGCTCTCCCTCTCCCCTAGTATAAGTGTAGCTAACCATCTCCTGTTTAATTTATTTATGTAGACAGTGTTCTGCCTGCATGTATGCCTGTGTGCCAGAAGAGGGCACCAGATCTCATTATGGACACGCAGAGCCCCCTAACTGGACCCCAGCTCCCACTTTCCTCCATATCACAGTAATAGCATCAACTTATTAAGCCATTAATGGATGAGTATAATAGGAAGGTTCTCAGCGACTTCTCCACAGCACCACCAGCCCAGGGACCAAGATCCCAATGTGAGGAGCGTTAAACATTTTTTTAAAAATTTTTTTTAAACTTTATTTTATGTGAATTGGTATGAAGGGATCAGATCCCCTGGAACTGGGGTTACAGAGAGTTGTAAACTGTCATGTGGGTGCTGGGAATTGAACCTGGGTCCTCTAAAGGAACAGGCAGTGTCCTTAACCTCTTAGTCATCTCCCCAGCCCCTAAACATTTTTTTTTTGAGACAGGCTCTCTCTATGTAGCCCTGTCTATCCTAGAATTCACTCTGTAGACCAGGATGTCCCAGAACTCAAAGACAGCTGCCTCCAGTCACACACTACAGTCACAGGACCACATACATGCAACACACAGAGTGGAGAGAGATAATTGCCACATACACATGAGCATAGGTCCACACATATGATAATAATCTCTTACACACACAGTCCTCTGACATGCAAATGAACAGCCACAGACACATGGGTTATGCAAAAGTTTACAATGACAGCTGTGCTGAGCAGGGATCATACATGTAGTGGTCACAAAGAGACGGGAGGGAAATCTGGGTCCATAGCAGTAACAGCCACATTCCTGGTTGCATCCAAAGCTATGTAGTGACATGTCTACATAGCCCAAGCACCCCAGGACTTCACAGTCACTGTGTTCCGTGCACATACACACATCTGGGTTCTAGAACACCTACATGCTGACAACCATCCCATCTACCTGAAGCAGACACCCCATAGGTATACCATACAAACCCAGCACCCGTCACCCCAGTCCTCAAACACCACTGCCCAGCATCGCACACACAATCAACTCCTTGCTCATCCACACAGCTCCCTCCCAAGACTGGTCCAAGAGCGGAACAAAAGCCCAGTGCCCATTCCTACCGGCTCCTTTCCCTCCCCTCCCCCCCTGGCGTCCAGTCCCTTTGTCCTCCCGCAGCTGAGCCCAAGTGGGAGTCTAGGCAAAGCCAGAGTAAAATCAGGAGCTCAGGCTGCTAGCAGGCAAGCAGGCAAGCAGGCGAGGCAGCAAGCGGCAGGCACGGACTGGAGCTGCTAGAATCTACAAGAACAGCAGTTGCGGAAGAGGGCGTGGCCAGGTAAGTACCAAGTACCTGGGACAGGGTTTCGGAAGCCTGGCTAAAGGGCTATCTTGCTGTGGGAAGTGTCCATCCAAAGCGTGCGGGGCGGGGTTAGCAGGAGAGTGGAGTGCCGAGCCGGTTTCTACTGACTGTATCTCAGTCAGCCCATGAACTTGCTTAGACTCTAAGATGGGAGAATGCTGATAGAGCCCCACGTGGAAATCCCTACCTTCCCAAATGTCCTTGCCCACCCCACCCCCCTCCGACGGTGGGACTTCACGTTGGAAACGGAGTCTCCCATTACCGTATGCCCGTAGTTCCCTGAGCCTAGGGAAGTAGGTGGCAGTAAGTATTGGCAAAGTTCTTAGGAGGTGAACTTAAGGACCACCACAATAGCGGGGGGACTGTCCTTCTTCTGACACCTGCCTTCTCGAGTCTCCACCTAGAGGGTAGCTGCGTCCTAAGCTAGCTAAGGACAGCCCTGCTGTACTCCGATGACCCGGAGTACACTGGATCCCGGCTTGTTCCTTGATCACTGGATCCTTGATCACTGGATCCCCGCTTGTTCCTTGAGAACACGCCTCCCACCCTGGCAAGTCCTGCGAAGGGGCTAGAATTAGCAGCCTGGTGCACGGTGGACTTGGGTTGGTCGTCTCTACCCGGGCAACAGTCCCTGTCATCAGGAGCTTATTTTGCGTGATGCTGAGGCGATGGGTCCACTACTCGGCATGATCCCTCTGACGCTGTGAAAGCCAGGCTGATCTGCCCTGGAGCAGTGGATGGGAGAATGGAGACACACACACACACACACACACACACACACACACACACACACACACACACCGGCTGAGCTGAGCCTGGGAATAAGTTCCCACGGGTAGGAGAGCACAGCCTGTTTTCGGACCATGTCAAGCATTAGCTGCCAGTTCTTAAGGACCAAGTCCTAACCAGGGTGAACAGTGCTATCTGTGGCATGTTTTCATAAACACCCCTTCTCCAACCCCCCACAGCTAACCTCTGAAGGGCAGGCTCCTTCTATGTGTCCGTTTCCCCACAGCAAACTCTTAAAAGGGTGCGGGTACGGACAGACACACATACCTCATGCTCTCCTCCTTCTGCACGAGTAAGTAGTGATCGAGGCTTACTACAATCCCAGCAAGTTCATACATCCCGCCCAACAGTTACCATCCTCTGGCTAGGCCTTAGGATGTTTCCGAAGAGATGGCACTGGTGGCTTGCCCAGGCCAGATAACACCAGACTAATGGAGGATGAGAACCCCATGTGCCTAGGGTCTGGATCTTTCCACTGGAAACATCTCTCATTCCCCTGCTTTTGTTCAACTAATCTACTCATCTCGGGAATTCCTTTCTTAAATGTTTTGACTGTCCTTTCTGAGCTCCTCCAATTCCTCCGAATTCTCTCCAAGAACCCCTGCCCAAGTTCTGAGCTCCAGAAAGGTAGGGGTTGCGACTGTTGGCACACACACACACACACACACACACACACACACACACACACACTGCTATTAAAAACTCTAGTTTAATCTAGTTTAATTAATACACACATTTGACCTTGTGTAAGCGAGGGACACACACACACACACACACACACACAGGTGTCTAGAGTAGCTTGAATCCCTTTACCAGAGACTACAGCTCGCGTAACCAGACCCTTCCTATAGACATTTTTTCCAAGTTCCAGGAACCTCCCTGAGATCCCCCTTCAGAAATTGAGAGTAGTCTTCCTGTTGTTGAAAGCCACGTGACACTACTCAATCCCGGGTGGAATCCCTAAACACTGTGTAGTCCAGACTTGTAAAACTCGTTCCATCCTCCCCCTCCCTTTTTTTGAGTCTCCTCAAATTATCCTATTTGAGTCTGCCATCTGTTTCCCGCAGAGCCTGGCAGGAAAAACCTTAGCCAAGTCTGAACAGAAAACTGTTCAGGATTCTGGAGGGGAGGACTGGACACAGAAGGCAGGGGTTGGCTAAACGCCATCAGAAGTCTAGATGGACCAGGGTGGGGTGAGGTTGGGTACAGTAGGTGCATGACCAGAAGTGCGTGGTGAGTGACCCAGCGAAGGAAAGCCTAATTGTGCGGGATGTCCCGAGTAGGCCTATCCCCAATGCGGTGTGTGTTTTCTCCTCACAGCATGCGGGAGACCCCGGGGCGCGAGGAGTCGGAGCCGGGCATGGAGGCCCCATGCGCGGCACCGTGCCACGCGCAGCGCATCCTGCAGACACTCAACGCGTACCGGCGGAGCGGCACCCTCACCGACGTGGTGCTGCGAGCCGGCGGCCGCGACTTCCCGTGCCACCGCGCCGCGCTTAGCGCGGTCAGCGCCC